GATGTTTTAGGGAGCAACAAAAGGAATTCAATTAAAAGACTAAGATACAGAATGAAGATGAGACAGATATCCAAAAATGAATGACAAAGCAGCAGATATTGTGCTAATATACTAATAGACTAATACTCACCCTTATTATTGTCTAAGCTTATCTTCATTATTATTTGTTTTCTTCATTCTTTTAATCTGTTAGAAATCTCTTTGTTATTTTCATGAGGTTGGAAGCACTAAACAGAATTACAAATGATATTTTCAAGAAAATAAATAATGTGCTGATAATTTAAACAACTCTGATCTGACCTTGGGCTCTAGCTTAATAGGAACCACTAAACCAGGATTTCTCAACCTGTGAGTATCAACCCCTCTTGGCAGGGGGGTGTCACATATCAGATATCAAACATATCAGATGTTTACATTACAATTCATAACAGTAGCAAAATTACAGTTATAAAGTAGCAATGAAATAATTTTATGATTGGGTCACCACTACGTGAGGAACTGTATTAAAGGGTTGCAGCATTAGGAAGGTTGAGAACCACTGCACCAAACACTTTTTAAGTTTAAAGAGAGAAAATTATCAGTCTATATCAAACAGAAATTGAGAGCTCTCTGGAAAGGCATCATAACAAAATTTCTAGCATTTTTATATTGGTATTTTTAAAAGATTGAGCACTTATTTCACACAACATGTTTATTGACATATACATAAGAAGTTCTATTAGTTCATTTTTCACTATGCCCATTTTGGGACGGGGCTCAAGTTGTGCTCTGAAATACATAAAGGTGTTACTTGTGTAATCTTAGACATGGGAGAGAAAGGGGTGTGTGTATGTGTGTGTATGTCCATCCTGTTTATTTCCATAACAAATGTTTTTAGTTTCACTTAGGAGGTCACTAGCTTCCAAACTCCTTTCTTGTGAGTGCCTATGATAGTGATTTACAGTGTATGGATTGTTGCTCCTCTCAAGAGATATGTTAAGAGGGAAAATTCCTCTAATTCGAACTTTTTGGTAAAGACAACTGTGTTCTTTGGGGGGAGGGTTGTTTGTTTTTTGTTTTTTGAGACAAGATTTCTCTGTGTAGCCCCAGCTGTCCTGGAACTTGCTCTGTAGACCAGGCTGACCTTGAACTCTCAGAGATCCTGCCTCTGCCTCCTGAGTGCTGGAATTAAAGGCATGCGCCACCATTGCCTGGCTGACAACAGTGGTCTTGTTATCTTAAATAACTATAGGATTGATCTTTTATGGAAGTAAAGAAACCTTTAGAAATGAAAAGCTAGGCTTATTTTCTAGGTGGCTTCAATCATGGGGCAGTGAGGTATGCAGCTACATAGAGTGGCAGACAATATGCAGCTGTAGCAGTTGAATTCCCACAACTATTTCTTGGCACTCTGATGAAATCTGTTTTGGATAATCATACGAAACCTACCATTTTTCTCCTTACAGCTCACTAAGATTATAATATTGATGTTCTAAAGAAGAGGTAATGTTCTACTTCTTCCATTCACATAGTTCTGCTTCAATTTCTAAGTCTGTGGTCTCTGTGCTACCACTTAGTAACCAACAGCAGTACCCTAAGCAAAATCCCCTGCCACAACTGGGATAAATTCTTAGCATAAGCTACCAAGTAATAACTCCATGAGTTTTATTGCCTTTGGATAAGCCATAAAAATGATCATAAAGTACCTGTTTTATTATTTCCAGTGTGAAATCTTCTACATTTTAAGACTGAAGACCAAACCCTTTGGAGGTAAGAAGTTTGGGGTAAGAGAACAGTTTTGATGAGAGGTGCTGTAGTATATTCAAATCATTTCCTCCACAAACCCTGAGATCTTGTCATTAGTTATATATAATAATTTACTCTATGGAAGGTACTGAAAAGTGGAAAATATATATATATATATATATAAATATATATATATATATTAATATAATTAGTGTCTATGTGTGTTTAAAGTCTTTTCTGTATGTATTTTGTTGTTACAGTTTGAAAGTAAGGTCTTTCAAAAGTATCATGTGCTTGATTCTTAGTGATAGGTACAAACATTGAGAGATCATGAGATTATGAGGACTCTGACATAATACATGAATTAATCGCTTGATGGATTCATACATAATCTGATGGCTTTATTTGGATATTGGTGGAAATGGGAGGTGAGGCCCAGTTGAAGGAAGCAGGTCACTTGGCATGCATGCCCTAGATGGGTTTGTCTTACCCTTCCTGTGTCATTTCTACTTTTGACCACCTTCAGGTGAGCATCTCTGTTCCACCACAGCCCTTGCTATGACAGGTGTCTCAACACAGTTCCATAAATAATAAACTGACATGGTCGTGTACTAAAACCTCAAACCATAAGCCAACATATGCCTTTCCTTGTTTGAGTTTTCTCAGATATTCTTCACCAAGGAACTGAGATTTTAAATATTACATAGATAAACTTTTGTATTCCATATGTTGAATTAGCTTCATTCTTTTCCCTGAACTGGAGTTTAAATGAAAGAAATAACCTTGAGCTTTCAGTTGGGAGAAAAATCATCGCTCCCAAAGGATAAATCAGAACAGCTCTCATCATGCTGAGAGAAACTTGTAGAATCCCCTCAAGGTCTGTGTGACTGTTCACAGTGACAAATGAAAGGGGTCTCCACACAGCAGTGGACCATCTAACCGTCATAACTGGGGTACCCTTAACACCAAATAATAGGATAATGGTCAACTGGCAAAATTTTAGGGATTTTATTGTGCTGTTTTTACTTTAAACCCACAAATGATAACAAAGAAGCGAACAAGAAGAGCACATAACTTAGCTTACATTTTCTGGATATGAGTGCCAACTCTCCTTGCTATTTCTTTCTCCTAAATTTGTGTTTAATGTTAAAATTAAAGAAAGGTAGACACATTGGCTCAGAGGGAGTTTCAGGTTACAGGGGATAATTGTTTCATGGGCAAAAACTCTGCCAAAATGGCATTTACTGAGTATTCTAAAATGATTGTGACATTTGAGAAAAGCAGCTAAGCATGGCTTCCACGATTTTCAAGAGAAATAAAAGGACATTAATTATATCAAAACCTTTTGGGCTACATTTTCAAACTGTACCCACTGACTGAATTTCAATTTATGAGATAGTTGGACTTGGTGCTATGAAACCTTAGTATTGTGTCCATGTAGACATTATTAGAGATGTTTCTTCTACAGACACTAAAATGGGAGCTGCTGCCATTCTAAGGAAATGAAAAGCTATTTGCCCTGATGAATTGCAAAACAGTAGATGAGTAGAACACCTGACCCCACTTTTCTACCAAGTCACCTTCCTTGACCTTGGCTTGCACCATAGAAAGCTGTCTTAAACATTGAACCCACCTCTGTAACAGACTGTTCTCAGCATTCAAGAAAACACTATAATTAGGAGGCTCATTATGGCAGCTGATACTGAAACAGATTTTGATATCTATTTGACCTCTTCAAAATTACTCTAGGAAATGATTTCTCATCTCATGTCTGTGTGAAGTTCTTAGCACCTTCATTCAGAAACACTGACACTCTTTAGAAATTGGGCATTCATTTGGGAAAGGCATAAAGACAAGCCACTAAGAAGCACAACAGAAAAGTGTTTACATGTGTTTTGAACCTGAGTTTGTCCAGCTGCTTGAGTTTCAGACAGCTATTTTTCACTGAAGCCGTTTGTTCCTTGATTCCTTGAACATTAACTGGTCATAAATAGAATGTGAGCCTTGCCCCTCCACTCCTTCCAAATGCGTTGAGACATTGCCAGACACCATAATCTCATAGAAGACCAATTCTCATCTCAGCTCTATCTGATTCTATTTCCTTGTCTCCCTAAAAAGGAAGCCAGAATCTGACAATGTAAATTTCCTGTCAATGTGGAGAAAAACAAAATTGCCTGAGAGGATGAAAGGACGGGAACTGGCATGAGAGAGGTAATAGAAACAGGCTGAGTCAGCCCCACTGTACATAAGACTTCACATCAACTCTTCAGTTGCAAAAGACAGAAAACCCAGTTCAAATTTCTTAAGCAAATGGCAAGCATGAGTCACATGATCAGCAGTCAAGAGTCCTGAATCTATTTGAACAAGAGTAGGAATAGGACAGTAATCCACCTCTGTTGCCTGCGCTCTCAGCTTGGTTGTTCCTTTCTAGGCTTGCTTGCACACTTCCAGAGCAAAGCCCAGAGAAAAACAAAATTGACCCAATAAATACATTGATGTAGAGCCTATGCTATCACTAACTTAATTTCAACTTTTCTCTTTAATTCTCTGAGCCTCTTATTAACACACACACACACACACACACACACACACACACACACACACACACACACACACTATACAACCCACAGTTACCTCTTCTATTTTTTACAAATAGTATTTACAGAAAAGAAATCTGATATAGCTTATTACAAAATCTTCATCCATACTTTTCTTTTTTTTTTTTTCATCCATACTTTTCTAAGTCCTCATGTTATGGAGAAGTTTACTTCCTCTTCTTTAATTAAGCCAATCCTTCACTTTTTTTAGATTCTATTTCCTTCTACCTTCTAAGGACCTTTCTCCTCAATCTTTAAATGTGTTCATGTCCCTCCTACCTTAAAACAAAATGAAAATACTTTTGTTTATCAGCAATATATTCCTACAATCTAAAGATATCTAATTGGATAAGTCTGGAACAGATCTGAACATTAAGATTATTCAGAGTTCCTCAGGTGATTTCAATGTATGACCAAGTTTAGGAACCACTGCAAAAGATGGTGCTTGCTGAATGTGTACTTTGTACCAGTTGTGTACTACCACAATGACTGTACCAGTGTCCACACATTCTGGTGGCATGGCTTTCTAAAACAAAGTCCCTGTCAGCTCACAGCTCTGTGTAGCATGTGGCAGAGCACCTGGTAATCACAAGCTTGTGGTGAGAAATGCATCTAAGTAGCAAATCGTTTGGGGAAATGACTCAAAGTCATTGCTACTGACTTGGGAATGTGACTTACTTCTGAAAGACATTACACAGATGCTCAGCTGAGGCAGCAGTGCTGAGTCTCTCCAATCAAGGGTTCAGCCAGCTCTGGTGCTGATGAATCAGGGCCACAGACCCTCTCGTCCTGCAACAAGGTCAAGAATCCAGCTCTCAACCCAAAATAGCGGAGTTTTAATCTTGGCTGTCACTTGCTTGGTTTGTGAACTGGATCAGTCCTTTAAGTTTCTGAAGACTCAGTCCCTAGTTTTAATTCTGGAAGAGAGATAAATGGACAACAAAGGTCTTAACCATTTCTAAGCTTAAGCTAGAATGTCAGATGAAATTATGCAAATAGAGCATTAAGCATTTTGCTTGGCCCTAAGTAAGCATGACTATACACCAGTTACAATGCACTTCTCAAGTGAAAGCTGGAAATTCCAACAAAAGGATGGGAACACTTCTATCTGTCCTTTAAAGCTAATTTGTAAGTCAGGGGAAATCAAAACTGAAATTGAAGAATATCTTGAATGTAATAACGTCACTAAGAACTGTGCCTCTGTCTTCTAGGTGATTCTAAATCCTGATAAGTTGAAATAAAGATTATTCATCAAACAAAATAACAGTGGTTAGCAAAAAGGTCAGGGCATGGCAGGGTACAAGGCTTTTACCAATGGGTTAAGTGGGAAAATCATAGAATTTTAATTAATAAATCCAGTATCAGATTCTTTAGAAAATAAAAGACTGACTCTTAGGATCTGTTAGAAGCTGTAAAGTGGGAGCATAAAAAGCAAAAGCTTTAGACATGGAGATAGTTTATATTAACGTTAACCTTTTGATTATTTTAGATTTTATGTCATTGGCATAGTTTGAACTGGTAGCTTGAGGCTTGCATTCTGTAAGTAGTCCATCTATATTACTTTTGTTCTCAATAGTCTATTAGTGATTTGGGAGCAAACAATAGTAGCTCTTGGCATCTTCCAGTCTCGAGCAGAAAGTTGATTTAGATGGGTTTAATTTCTGGTGCTTTGTGAACTAGCTGTTAAGGCAACCAGTGAATTATTAATTGCAGTGTTTTTGCAGCAGGTTATAATTTAAAGGAATAAGTTCATCTCTTAGTGTCTGATGCTGAGGAGGGCTGCATGCCACCATCTGTAAGCATAAGCACAAATCTCTAGGGAGGATGGATGTACTAAAACCCACAGGCAGAAATATAATTGAAAGGCATCTCTAGATGGCAAAGCCATGGAAGGCTGAAGTTCAAATAGACTTAAAATACTAGCAGTTAGTTAAACCACTGGGACTGGGACCTGGAGAGAAACTGAGAACACACTTATTAGTTGATAGTTACTAGTATTAACACTTTTTTATGTCAGGAAAACTTTCCATGATCTTGAAGAGCAAGGTCTTGTTTTGTGGGATAAACTTATCCCCCAATGGGTCTATAACTAGCCTAGGAAAGAGTGGAATATCTTCCAACTGCTCCTATGCAGATTTGTATTATAAGCATTTATCAACCTAACATAGTCCCAGCAATAGCTGTACTATTTACCAAGAACACTAAGTTAAGGGATCTGGTTTTTTTCTGTGTAATGTTTAGACAAGGGCTGCACATTGGAAATATAGAAGTTTTAAATTTTCATAGAATATATATGTATATCCTTTATAAAATCCTGTTGAACTCTGGTTTTTGTTCCTAGGTTCACTTTTCTGATTTTTTTCTGTACTTTTAAAAGCTTTATTTATTTGAAAGTATTATTTTGTGACAAATTGAAGACCCTTCATCCAATCATACTTCTTCCCAAGGGCTTCATATAATCTATGATATGCACACACAAATATCTGGGACTCAGTGAATTGGCTGCTAACAATCTCTCCAGAGGAGGGGAAAGTCTTGGTGTATGGTGTTTTTTCCTAGTTCAAATGTGTCTAAACTGCTGACCCTGGAGCTGGATGCACCATAGCAGAATTGTGAATGCAACACGAATCAAGTTTGTAAACAGTCTTAAAATACCACAAGATGTATTTGTCAATACAATTTGGCTTTTTAACTCAACTGTGAGATTCTCAAATGCAAGTTTGTCTGTCAATGACAAAGACTTGTCACAAGATCAAAAGGAGGGACATGACAGAATGTGGCTGACATCAAGCTAATAATTATAATCAGAGCTCATCAAGATCATGTTCAGAAAGCCCTTTTCTATGCCAATAAGTTTAAATGTGTCCCCAACATTGTCCTCCATCAGATTAAGCATCTCAAGTATTACTTTGAGATCCTTGATCCATTTGGAATTGAGTTTGTGTGGTGAGAGATAAGGATCAAACATAACACTTTAACCTTTAGCTATCCAGTTTTACCAGCACTATTTGTTGAAGATGCTGTCTCTTCCTCAATGTGTGATGTTGGCCTCTTTTTAAAAAATCAGATGGCTATAGAAGTGTGGGTTTATATGTGGGTCTTCAGTTCTATTCCATTGGTCTGTTTGATGGGAGTACCATGCTGTTTTTATTACAATAGCTGTGTAGTAGAACTTGAAATTTAGGATGGTGTTGCCCCTACAAGTTTTTATTTTATTGTTCAGGATAGCTTTGGCAATCCTCCTTGTTTATAGTTTGATATGAAATTTAAAACTTTTTCCAGTTTATGTGAATAATTGCATTTAAATTTTGATCAGTATTGCATTAAATATGTAGATTGCTTTTGGTAGCATAGCCATTTTCACAGTCTTAATCCTACTAATACAAGAGCATGGGAGGTTTGTCTATATTCTGGTATCTTCTCCAATTTTTTTTCAGTGTCTTAAAATTTTCATTATGTAAATCTTCCACTTCCTTCATTAGATTTATTACAAGTTCCTTCTGAGGCTATTCTTAATGGTATTGTTTCCCTGATGTCTTTCTCAGGTGTTCATCATTTGTATATAGGAAATCTACTGGCTTTTTTCTGTTAGTTTTGTATCCCATTGATTGCTGGATGTGTTTAGCAGTGGCAGGAGCTTTCAGGTGGTGTCCTTAGGGTCTTTAATGTATAGAATCCTATCATCCACAAGTGAAGACACTTTAAATTCTCACTTTACCTTTTTTAAAATCACTTTTTATCTCTTTTACTTGTCTCATCAGGTCTGGTAAAGCATATTACTGTCCAACCTATTCTGGAAGCTTGTGAAGGCCCCTGCAAGGTCCTCCACTAGCAAGGAGACTTAGCTGATGTTGGGTCAAAACTTCTGGAGTCTAACTCTAGGCCAGTTTATTTTAGACATATTTAAATGCAGTACAATTTGGGGGAAAGTTTCCTGGTAACAATAATTCTAATCATATGTGCACAATAAAGCTTAAGGCATGACTGTATCAAAACTCTTTTGCAAAGTACATGTGACCACAAAGATGGGTTCTACAGCTCAAGGGCTCTTAACACGATAGGATCTGGTGTGTTCTCTGACAGAGATAGCATGAAGGTCAGCAGGCTTAAAGGACATGTGACATCTCCCCTAAGGATGGGTTCTATTGACTGAGAAACAAAGCTAAAGCTAACAGTCTAGGGAGGGTGAGTCTGGAATTGTCATTCTCAGGGATTTGGTTGAAGTCTGGCTCTACAGATAGCAAAGGTCATCACATCATTAACAACATCCACTCCTAGCCTTCTGGATGGGAAACAGATATTCAATTTCCTCCATTGAGGAGACAAGCCTACCTAATTAACACCCCTGCTTTCTCCAGTGCTTATTTGTAAGCACTCTGTGCCTCCTCTAGGCTAATGCAGGAGGATCACAATATAAAGGTTTGCCTAGGCTACAGGGAAAGTTCAAGGCCATGTGGGTAACTAAGTGAGACCCTTGCTCAAAATAAGTAAAACAAAACAAACAAAAAAGTATAAAAGAAGTGAGGCAGGACTGGGAAGATGGCTCATTGGGTAATTTGCCTGCTGCTCAAACATGAGGACTGAGTTTTAATTAAGTCTCCAGTGCCCACATAAAAAACTCAGCATGGCAGGAAGCAATGCCTACAATCCCAGTGCTAAGAATGAGGGACAACAGTATGCCAAGGTCTTGCATTTTACAGGTTCATTGGGAGAACCTGTATCAAAAAAGTAAAATAGAAAGCAAGGAGGAAGATACTGCTGTCAACCTTAGGACTTCACATGTGAACATATACAGCAAAGATATTTTGAAGGAGGCTGAGAATGCATGTAAGAACCTGGCTTCAGGTCACCATAGTAACTTAAAAAATAATAGACTAAAAGGTAACTATACAATAAAACAGCTCTTGTGACTTTTCTCTATTTTGATTCCTTACTCAACAACACTTAATGGCCAGCACTATATGAACTGGACACACACACACACACACACACACACACACACACACACACACACACACACACACTAGGGCATCAATGCATGTGGCAGCATCACCTTGCTATCATATTGTTGTTTGGTATGGAGTTGGGATGGGGGTCCCTTCAAATGTGAAATCTCCTATTTGAATATATCCATGCCTGCGGTGCCTGTTACAGCAAAATTTGAAACACCAAAGAAGTATAGCAGTGCTGCCTAATAAGCCAGCTTTAATCTGTGAAAACCTAGGCATTACAAGCTTACTCAGAGGTTCTGAAAACATATGGCCCCATGAAGAGCTAAAGTAAAGGGTTATTAAATAGATTATACAATCTTTCATTGGAATTGTTATGTATCACAAAAGTATAATTCACATGGGATATAGAAACAAGGAGAATGAGAAAAGGAGAAGAGGAGGGATGCAGAGGACAGGAGGGAGCAGAAAGGTTGAGTAAGGCGAAGAATAGAAGATAACAAGAATGGAGATACCATAATAGAAACATTTTAGGTTTACAGAGAAATCAGGCCTTAGGGAAATGTCTGGAGATCTACAAAGATGACACCAACTAACAATCTAAGCAACAGAGGAGAGGCTACCTTAAATGCCCTCCTCTGATAATGAGATTGATAACTGACTTTTATGCTACCCGAAAGCCCTCATCCAGCAGCTGGTGGAAGTAGAAGCAGACAGCCACAACTAAACACTGAACTGAACTGGAATCCAGATGCAGAGAAGGACGACGGAGAGCAAAGGGGTCCAGACTAGGCTGTCGAAACCCACAGAAACAGCTGACCTGAACATCAAGGAACTCTTGTTCCCTAGACTGATAACTGGGATAACAACATGGGACTGAAACAGACCCCAGGAACATGGGTTTCAGTGAGGAGACCTCGGAAATCTATGGGACCTGCTGTAGTAGTTCAGTACTTATCCCTAGCACA